CAAGTATCGGCCTTCCCACTCTCTGCCATTCGTACCGCCCCTAATACATTATCAGATTAATAAGAGCTGTACAGGCTGCAGAGCCAGCTGTTCAATCCCATCTGAATTCAAAGAAGTGCACATGACATCACATGAGATCATATTACAGAGCATTTGGTAAAATGAATATAGAGAAGAGTATAAGAAATGTAAATACTGTAGAGAATGTATAAAAGAAGCAGAATGAAAAAAAGAATGAAGATTTGAAGATTGATTTGAGCTGTATGAGTCAGAGCATTCAAATATTTTTGATAGAATGCACATGATGTCACATTACAGTGTTTTTTGCATGGAAAAGTTGGTTTTTCTATAATATATAGAGAGATTAAATACATTTTCATATAAGTTTATTTTCTATTTTTTATATAAAAACTATTGAATTGCTTTCTTTGCAAATTAATTGCTTTCATTCACACACTTACTGCAGCTGCTGATTTATATAATCAGTGATTGCAAGCTCTCTATAAAAGACTATAACTATAGCAGCTAACTTCTCATAGTATAAATCATCTACTTTAAAAACTTCTTCATCAGATTATATTTTTCTTGCATATAAAAATTCACTTTAATTATTGCTAAAGGACCGCAGAATCGACAGGACATCTTTTTTTCCAGGAATCGTCTCGCTCAGTTCTATCTACAGGGATGACGACCGTTTCAATCGGGCCTTCGTCTTCATTTGTTTTAGACGTTCGAAGGCATGCGGCCATACCCTTAGTTTGGATCCGATACTTCGAGAGAATTTCGACGAACTTAGGATGCAGCTCTGGCCACTGTCTCTGGAGAGGATGATCTGACGCAATGCAATGGGAGTACCTATGGCAGGAACAGTGCATAGGAATGGGCCTCCGACCCGAAAATCTTCGCTACGAATTGCCATCTTCAGTCTCATCACTAGTCAGAACTTGAACCGCGAGTCCTTTGGAAACGTCCTTGCGAGATGTGAGGTGACGGTAACGAGGCGGGGGGTTTCAGACAGAAACTACAGAAGAGGCGAGGCATAGTCTTCCTCGGAGCTCCTATTCATCCGCCTTCTAGAGCTGTTTGGGACAGGGAGAAAACTCCCACGAGACCAACGCGCGATGATCAGTAGAAGCCTAGAAAATGAGTACCGAACCGACACAACAAGAAAACCTTTTGAGATAAAACAACACCACACAGACGTGCAGCCACCACAGAAGAAAGAGGGCCAAAAAATATCAGCTCTGACATGTCGAAGGGTAAAGTTCTGGAAGGAAAGACCCTAGAACAATATAAAGCCAGGTGTTCAGTCCAGCTGGTTCTTTGGTGATTATGATGCAAGGAAATTAGAACCATGGTTTCTCCTATATAATAATATCCCACAATTCTACCAAATTTGGTTTTTCATGGAGTTGAGAGGTTGAACATTTTTGTAGCGGGCCCGCCATCGTGGGTGTTGTTGCACAGCGATCGCCTCTCATTTAACTACGGACTAGCGCCCCGCAAACTACATAGCTTCCTCCTAAGATAGAACCAATCAGACTTACATGGGATGTATCGATATATCGTAGCATATACTCCGTAGACATATTCTGTGTTGCCAAAGGCACTTCTAGACATAAATAGTGCAGACCAGATATTCATTTTTACACCAATCATCCCCAAATTAATTCTATCTTCACGCTTTTCGAAATTCCCCGGCGCCTTGACAGGATACATCAACAGCCAACAAACAGCCAAACCTGTGACAGCCAATAACTAGCCAACCAGCCAACTGCCACCCCATCTTCTTAAACTATGCATTTAATATTGGCCCGATCCTACCAATCGCGCCGCCTAGCCCCGGCAAACTGCACCATTCCAGCCTTCGCCAGATTGGTAGTTTAGCGGGTGGAAAAATAGAAAGAAAGTGGAGCCTCACCACCTTTTTAAAGTTTTTTAAAGTTATCTTTAGGTCAAGACTCACGGGCCTTACGAGCCATGAAGATGGGGAGTTTAAAATATGGGGAACGGGCGCTGGAGGGCTGAGGGGCTGAAGGAAGGGGCTTGGCGGGCTGGCGGCGGACGGCGGGCGGCTGGCGGCGGGCGCAGGGGGCGAGAGGCAGGGCTTTTGATAAGGGATAAGTTATCTGAGTGATTTTACGGAGTAATTATTTGCTTATTTTCGGAGTCAGTGCACTTTAATTTATTGGTTGGACGGCAAATTAGCAAGAGATGCATATGCATACATTTCCAAAAAGGCAGGGGGAAACAGTAAGATGAGAGAGAGTGCAGAAGCGTTGAAAAAAGTTACTCACTTCTCTTCTTTGAGAAGTCAGGTACTCCGTACGGAGTACATGAACAATAATAACAATAATGGTAAACATTTGGATAGCCGAAAATTACCCTCGGCTAAAAAGCTAAGCGAGGGCACAGGGTTATCTACTTACATCTATATTCATCTTTAATAATTGTAAGTTACACTATGTAAATAATAATAGGTATCTTGATGTTTCAGTTCCTAAGGTACTCAGAATGAAGTTTACCAATTGGCCACCTCTTAGATTATCGAGGCCTTTTGCGAATTAGGAGAGAGAGAGAAGAAAGAGAAAAAAAAGAAAAGAAAAGAGAAAAGAAAAAGAAAAGAGAAAAGAAAAAGAAAGCAGAGATATTCAATAGAAGTTTCAGAATTAAACTCTTTTCATACACTATTTCTTCCCTGCATAAATAATCCGCCGCTTTTAGGCCCCTTGTTATTTATTTTATTCTTTTCTTTTCCTTTCTACCATTCCTCATCCCCTTTATTTAAACTAAATCTGCTTCATATACATACCAGTTCCAAAAGCGAAAACCACAAGTAAACCAAAAGGAAAAATATGAGGAGCGGGAAAACATGAATGTGGAGGGCATGAGGAATCTTGCTTCCCTCCGTCCGCCGCTCTCAGCCTCAGGCCTCCCGACTCCCAACCCCCGCGCTTATCGCCGCTCGCCACTACTCGCCACACAGAGATAACCAAATGATAACAAAATAGGCTTAACTATGAACAAGTTGCGCACGCTAGTATGCGCGCGTAGCTGGAGTATACTGGTTGATAGATATATGTAAAACAACAATACCGCTCACAGAAGGTATCAGGTGTGTAAGATCGCGACATTAAACAATAGAATTAGGTAAAGAGCACACAAGGTTAAAAAGCTGGAATATGTCAAAAACATTATCAAATAAAATGAAAATAAAAATAGGAAATAGGAAATAAAATAATTTCAAAAAAAAAAAAATAAATAAATAAATAAAAAAAAAAAAATAAGTACAGTAGAGTAGGGTAATGAAACGTTGAAAGAAGATTTGGCAGCGAGGCATGGATATGAAGAAAGCCACAAGAGGGCATAAAACAAAGGAAAGCAAAATTATGTGCTCTTTCTGTATTCTATCATAGCTTTCACCCTTTTCAAGCTGGACGCTATGAACTATTCTCACGGGCTGGGTATGGACAAACAGGCTTTCTGCTCTGGATTCCCAGATGGGCAAGAGGAGAATCATAAAAAAAAAAAAAAAAAAAGAAAGAAAAAGAAAAAGAAGCACGGTGCGGGCATTGGGGTTTCCTTAACTGCCCGAGCTCTATACACATATCATCGTTTCGTTTCAGCTCTTTTTGACAAAAAGTAATTTGAAGGCTCAAATCAAGGGAAAATTGGGAGGCGTACGGTTACTAAAAAATGCACCAGGCAATGCGAAAAACGTAGAGAAGACGAAGATGGTGTGGTGGTCTTCATGCTTTTCAGCAGACAGAAAAAAAAAATGAAAAAGAAAATAAAAAGAAAAGTAAATAAGAATACCAATGAAGTATTAGTGAGCGTGAGAGTATAAACGGATATACAGAAGACATGGATATAAAAGTTTCTGTTCCTGCGCTTGGTGGTTCACAAATTATCCATCAGAAGGATGAGATACCAAATGTGTCTGAAAAGTCATATTTGAGGAACGGATTATCATCAGCGCCCTCGTGGGAAGCAGTGCTAAGCTCAAGGCCGTTGACGTCTGGAAGAGCGTCTTGGAAGAAGGAAGACGTTTCTGAACCGGGCATTCCTTCAGCGAAAAGGTCGTTGTTGTCCAGTATTGAATTCTGGAGATATTCACTTAAGCCCATTGTAAGCGCGTTTTGGTCGCAAAAACCTTGATTTACTGCTGGCGAAGGAAGGGATGGGTCAGCAAGACTTGAACCGGAGGTGGTCAGTGAGCCTGCCGAAGTTCCTCGGGAAACTGGGGATGTTCCAAGGCATGGCGTCTGGACCATAGGCTTCTTGGTATTAATTGGGATTGGTTTGCACTGGGCAGCCGGGTCGAGAGCTTGATTTTCCGGTTCCTGGACGCTTCCAGAAGAAGACATACAGTTATGATTATTCGAGTTACGAGAATCGGCACTGGCGCTAATGGAACTCTGTATTGGGGCGGAATTCACTGCGGAATTGTTGACACCCCAGTTGTACTCGGTGGCACTCGAGGGATAACTGCCTGGGGTTCCCATCCCTTCGGCTGAAGAATTGGTAGCTGGGGTATGGGCGTAGCGCATGCAGTCAAAGGAATTCATGCGTATAACTTGGTTTGCTCTGTATTGTGTGTTCAGGCGTCGAGGGCGCGGTTGCTGGAGATCCTGATATGATTGCCGCCGAATATTTGGAGCTGGCCTGACGCTTGACGTTCTTTGCTGACCAGTTGGAGAGACCTGCTGCACGGTTCGATATAATTGTTGGATATTTGAAGGTGGTCTTGTTGAATGGTTCCCTTGCTGTCGAGTTTGTTCCAGGTGCTGCTGCCACTGTTGCTGTTGTTGGGAAGGGTGGTTTATGGAATAGCTAGGAATAGACTTCTGCGGGTGAGATTCCGGTCGCACGGTTGATGATCCAGCGTGATGCAGGTGTGTAACATCAATGGCGGGATCCGAAGCAACTCGTCGGTTAAGTCTGTTACTCTGACCATTAAAATTGGTGAATCCCTGGCTTTCATAGCCGGGAGTGTTGTGTGAAATGGGGAGAGAATTGGGCCTTCCATTTGGCACTGATGGGCTGAACGGATTATTGAACATGCCCTCCACACCTGGTACGCCATTGAAGCGGTATATTGCCGAACCATATACTTCCGGAGCTGGTATCGGCCCTGTATGGTATGGATTGTGCATACCGTTCAACTGCGGGAATGGTTGACCGGCATGAGTTTTGGCAAAATTGGCCAACATGTACGGATGTAAATGTACATCCAACGATTGGGACCTGAGCTGAAGACTATCGATATGGCACCGACGTTTTCTACCGTGCTCATCATCTAATTCATCGTACATCTCCTCTCTCTCGACAGCTTCGAGCGTGATGCGCAAACCCTTTCCAGTTCGTTCCTTGTGAACTTCTGATGCACGCAGCGCGGACTCAAACCGTGCTTCCATGGTCCTATCCCCTCTTCTAGAAGCGGCGATGAATGCCCTTATTCAACAGTTAGGTGACTCAGGAACAAGCACTATAGTAGCGGGAGAAGGGAAAAAAGCTAACCTTTCTCGGTTTTCCAACCGTCGTTTAACATCTTCTTTCTCTCTTGCTTCTCTCTCCGCTTCTGTCTCATTTTTCTCTTCCAATTCCCTGGTGTCCCTCTTCTCTTTCACGCGAGTGGAAGTTGGAGAGGTCATGGCTATAGAGTCACCAGGGGCCAAGGAAAGTATTATATCTTACTGGGAGGCGAAGGGACAGGACAGAAGAACAGAGAAGCAGCCGTTCTGATATGAACAGGCGACGGTGTCTTGTAATAATAGAGGGGAATAAGGCTGTTGTGCAGTGTTTCGTAGAGTATATATATGAATGAGGTGGCACGAAATAAAACGTAACGTAATAAACAAGGGCTTGTGTTCTGTGTCTCTTTCTGGCATACGAGGGAGTTCAAACAAAAAGCAAATA